CATTTATTATATATAATCAATTTTTGAGTAGTTGTTGCCTAATACATTCATGCTAGCCTGAGCAATGTATGGAAGAGACTATTTAAAACCTTTTCACTAAGCTTTTGCATTTTCAAATCATTCAGAATATTTTAATAGATATTTGAATGATTTTGTAATTTACTTCTACCATTTGACACCATAGCTACCTAAGGGTGCGAACAGATTGGATCGAAAATAAAGATAGCAACGGTTTTTCCCCATTTTTATACTCTGAGGTATACTCTGATGTTTGTAACACCCAAAAGTAAACGTCAGAGACCTTAAAAACTATATACATATATGTATAAATGATCAGCGTGACTAGCTGACTCGATTTAGCCATATCCGCCTGTCTGTAATACGCAAACTGAACCTTCACTTACAAGAGTACAAGAATACCTAAATATCGGCCAATCTCAATTTTAAAAACAAACTTAAAAAACTAAATGTTTAGAATAAAAATGGCTGTGCTCCTTGCTCCGAAAAGGTCCATATGAAGCGCAGTAGAATCGGACGCAAATACAGAATCTATATAGTAGGGTGTAGCGAAAACAAAAAAAAAAATTTTCTTGGCCTTAACTCTTTACGTTTACATAAAATATACCGAATTTGACGGTTTTTGACTCAAAATTTATTTTAACGCTTAAGGAAAGCATGTGGTCATTTAAGACTTTTTTTTAAAACTCCAATACTGACCACAAAAACATTGTTTAAGTTGATAAATTTGAATTGATCAGAAGGAGGACTCTCCACAGCTTCTAGAACACTTATTAAAAAATGTTTACGAAATAAAAATTTTAACTCGAAAATTTACTTTAAAACTGAGCGCCGCTTATAGGTGTTAACTTTTTTTTTTTGTTTTGACTAAAAATTTTCTTTTTTTAAAATCTACAGATTTTACCCCCAGCCTAAGCCAAAAAAAAATTTGTTTTTTCGCTCCAAAATCGAAAATTCACATATCAGTGACTAAACTATTTTCTTTAAATCTGTTGAATATGCCAACATTAAATCGCAGCCTAGAGTTATACTCGTATTATACACCGAGTAAGAACTATAGATCGCTTAGAATGGTTTTAAATACCGGTGAGAAAGCAGTGCTTAAAATGAATATCTTAAGCTCAATTATACTTATAGTTCAGCTCTTCTTCAAAATTTTCTTCTTATTTATATCAGTACGCATTACGCAAGAATAAATTAAGCAATTTGGTCGAAACCACTTGAGAGAAGAACGCAAAACTTTAAGCAAAATATTTATGAGCATACCATCTGGTCAAACTTTGACTCGAACGGGTCCATTTAAAAAGGTTTCTCTGGCGATTTTTACGAATGGATGGAACAACGAGTTTGCTTAAATGGCACTAAAGCATTCAGTGAAGGTCACGAAGTCATCGATAACTTACCTAATGCGATCTTGAGTGCATATACATACATTCAGTTCATTTGACATCTATACTTGAGAGAAAAAAAGGTATTCAGAACCGGAAATCCATGGGCTTAAAGCGCTTATAAGAAAACCAATTGAGAGGAAATGTTGACTATGAAACTGTTTTGCTCTACGAAGTAGTTAGTTAGTAGTAGAATAGTTGGACTATTAGCCATTAATTTTTCAGCAATTTTCAGTCAAGCTAGAAGTCTATCTATTGCTTTCAGTGCAACATTTTGAAGGTAGCGAAACGCTATAAAAGGTGTGAATTGACGTGTAAAGCACAGAGAGTTGCCACGCTTGTTTAATTTCTTAATAAATGACTATTTAAAAATATATATATAAAGAAAAATTAATTATCAAAGCAAACAGAAATATTATTTTATAGCGTTGCCACCTGCTTAAAAATAAAAATATTTTTTTTTAATTTATAATAACGTAAGATTACAAAACTAATAGCGGCTTGCGTTTGTATACATACATATGCGCCAAATGTATGTATGTATGTTTTTAATTCAACCGCAAGCGAGTCTAAAAATTATGAATAAATTTCACTCAGCAATCAGCATCAACTTATATAACTGTAGCTGGGTATTATACAAATTTGCCAGCATAACACAAAAGCAACTTTCAACTTCCGCTTTCTGGCATTTTTCGCTCTTACTAAGTGCCCGCCAAGGCGTATGAGTAATATTTTTTCGTTTATTTCACTTTTGGCAAAACACAATCACTTAAAACACATATAAAAATAGATTCATACCATAATATTCTAACAAAGCGACGGCACTGTGGCGAAATCGCATAATGAAGCAATTATTTAAACTGCAGTGAATTAGCGCTCGCATTATTGTTGTTGTTGCTGTATTGCCTTACGACTTTGTCATTACGTTAAAAATGCCTAAAAGCACGCTCGCATGGCATTTCCAACTGCTATGGGTATGCAGTTGTTAATGTGTGTTATGTATATATATATGTATATATGTATGTATTTGAATGTTTATGTATGTGTGCCTGTGCAAGCAATACCCAAAGAAAGGCAACTTTGCGGAAATATCCAGCAGACAATCGCTAGCACTAATCTATGTATTTGTAATAATTATTGCATGCAGGCACAAGCATCTACAGCCAGTACGTGTATGCGTGTGTGTGTGTGTGTGTGTGAGCACCAATTTTATTTGCTAATATGTAAATAACATTTGAAGAGGTGCCAGCGCTCTCGATAACTTCTTGAACTATGCCTGCCACAGCGGGTTGGGTGTAAGCGGGTATGCGATTGCTGCGGCCACTTTTCCACATTTTCCTCTACTACCATGCTTGTGCTTCTGCTTCTGCTTCTGCTTCTGCTTTTTTCTGCCTGTTACTTCCGCTATTTCGTTTGGCTCTGGCAACAATTGCATATTACGGCGCATAAGTGATGGGGGCGTAACACGAGACGTCATAATCATGCATATGTAAATATATATATATATATATGTGGCATACTAAAAGCAATAATAACAATTCAACTGCTCACACACACACACGCAAACACATGAGTATTACCCTTTATGCTTGGCTTAATTGTTCAACTACAAAAGTTTTCCTTTTATTCGCCTGTATTTTTTATGCTAAATGTTTAAGTGAAATTGCAAATTATTCTGCCATCCCTCTTGGCTTTAGCCACTCGAGAGCGGAATATATTGAAAAGCCCTGGTGTGCTGCGTCCCAACGCCACCCTGCACTTGTGCAAAATGTTACTTTGTTATGCAATTAGTCGATTTAGTTAAAACTTGAGAATCTTTTATTGCGAACTGCAGTCATTCACATTGTTACATTGATATATTGGTGCATTGGCAGCCTACTTGAACGCCCGCATACACACACACACATATATATACACACACATGCGCACCTGCTTTGCTGTGAAGCATTTGTGGCTTGAGCGAGATCGTTGCACCTCGTTGATTTGTTTTTCTGCATTTTTCATCCGACAACTGGGGTAACTCGTTAAGGTCTGTCGGCGCAAAGCCCGAACACACACACACAAATATTTTGAACTGCATGCATTTGCAGTATTTGTTTATTAACATACTCTTATATTTGCTTGCATAAGTATGCATGTAGGTCGATTTTAACAAGTCAATGAATGTTGGAAAAGTGTGACAAAGCACAAGCGGCGCACATCTGGCAGCAATAATAAATATATGCATGCTTGTGGGTGTTTAGGTATATGGGAGGGTGCTTTGATAGGTCAGCGACTTTTCGCAATAAAAGATAAACCTTTTCTACAGAAAAATTTTTTTTTTTTTAACCCAAATATAGGCCTCCTCATGACATAAGTCTACATTTTTTTAATATTTCGACATGAGAATTTTCGTTTGCAAATCAGCGTTTTTTCCGATATTTAGTTAAAATTAGATCCAAAAAATGTAAAATAAACAAAAATACAGTGTGTTCGTGACACAAAACGGTGGGTTTACACCAAATTTTTAAATACATTTTTTTGTAAGAGATGGAAATAAAAATCCCAAAACTTAATTTTGAGATTATGTACAAAAATTGTTAACACCAAGTTGTTGCTCATTTTATTACCTACAACTATGCCGTAAAACTATTCTCCAAAAGACACGTAGTTTTGTCGAAAACCGAGCTAAGCCGTTTTTGACCTTTAAAAATTCAAATGCCTCCTCCCAATCCTTTTCCCGACCATAGATCACCTGAAAATATTTCATTGTTGTTTTTTTTAGCTTCGACTGCTTTTTGAAACAGTCAAGAATTTTATTTATCTTGGCACTGCCATCAGCGGCAATTATGATGCCAGCATGGAGATCCAGCGAGGGATAATTTTTGAGAATCGCTGCTATTTCAGATTCAGTAGGCAAGTAGGATGTAGAGTAAACTTTCGGCAGACAAAACTAATATTCTACAAGTTGCTCTTAGTATGCCTTCTTCTGCATGGCGCAGAAGCATGGACAATGTCAGAAAGAAATGAGCTGGCGCTTGGATTATACCACGAGTGATGGAGTAACCAAGTAAAAGAAGCAGGGACGAAACTTGGTGTATGATGCTGAAGAAATCATGCGCGGAAATCCTACACTAGCTTATCACCCGAGACCCATATGTTTCATGCCAAAATCATATTTTGACTTTTTTTCGTTCAATCTCTTACAAGCAACTATAGTGTTTGCTCTTTTTTTATACAATGATACTACGGTGATTAAAATTTGGTGAATAATCCGGCTGATACCCTTATTTGTATTTCCTTAACAACTACCACTTTTACAGCCTCTACTCAACGTTCTTTTTACAAAGTCTTCAGGTCTTTTGACGCGAGCCTGGCGTACTTCAATTTTTTGCGTCGATACGTACGATAACTCTGGATAATTCATAATTTGCATATTAGAGATTATGACTTAAAAACATGATCTAGACGTGTATTGACAGATGCTCTCGTCGGCATTAACCTTAAAACTCTCTAAAACTTTTCAAAACTATTTACTTTCATATATTCTATTGCAAGTATTCTTTACTTTCCGACTTTCAAGCCAAACTAATGCAAATTTCTTCTTCTTTTCAGGCCAAAATGCTGGAGAACTCACATGCTTGGATGGGCGCTTCAAGCTCTTCAACAATTGCAGGTTTGTATACGAAATCTTAGCTTCAAATATTATATATAGCTTATGAATCACTCAAAAACCATTCGAAACAAAGCCGTCTAAAATTGCATTATCATAACCTACCATTGACCTACTTCGTTGCGAACTGCTTCTTGTATTTCTTTCAGCAGACAGCTATCAATATCAATTGCAATCAATGTGGCAGAAATGTTGGAACACTAATCAAAGTCTCATGCATCACCTGCGCTTCCGCGAACGTGGCCCACTGAAATCGTGGCGCCCCGAAACAATGGCCGAGGCTATATTTAGCGTGCTCAAGGAGGGACTCTCACTATCGCAGGCGGCACGCAAATACGACATACCCTATCCGACATTCGTATTGTATGCGAATCGTGTGCATAACATGCTCGGCCCTTCCATTGATGGTGGACCTGATTTGCGGCCAAAGGGTCGTGGCCGTCCGCAGCGCATATTGCTTGGCATTTGGCCGGATGAACACATTAAGGGTGTCATTAAGACAGTTGTCTTCCGCGACGCAAAAGATCTCAAGGATGATAGCATAGTGCCACATTTACCCTATGGTCGGCACTCGGTAAGTGTCGTACTACTTTCAATTTTGCTGGTTATTCACAGCATTACTAACTGTATTAGTATGTCTAGCCCATGTTTCCATTTCAGGATGGTCCGCTTAACTATCCTGGTATGAGTGGTCCCTGTCCGAATGGTGTGCCCACACCCACCGGTGATCAGATGTCGCAGGAAGCTACCGCTGCCGCTGTAGCTGCGGTGGCGCACAATATACGCCAGCAAATGCAATTGGCTGCAGCCGTACAACATCAACATCCGTCGGAGGGTCCACCGGGTCCTGGTCTATTTAATATACCTCCGCATTTGCAACCACATTTAGCCGCCGCAGCATCGGCTGGATCTGGTGGCGCTGCGCCTGGTGTACATGGCTCGGTACCGCTACCAAAGACGAGCATATCTCCTGCGTTGAGTACCACATCGAATCCCAGCGGGGGCACAATGCTCGGACCGCGGCATGCACCATCGCCCTGCGGTCCAGGCTTACCGGGACTGCCGCCGAACTTACCGCCCAGCATGGCGATGGCGCTGCATATGGGTCGTTGCGATCCAACCGGTGTACTCAGCCAGCAGCAACAACATCAGTTGCAGCACCTACATATGCAACAGCAGCAAGCATTACAGCAGCAACAACAACAACAGCAGCAGCATCATCAGCAACAACACCAGCAGCAACAACATGGCTTCGGTTACGGTGTTAGTTCCATGCCTCATCATGGCGCAACCTCAGCATCAGCAACAGCTACATCATCTTCCAATCAACATTACCAACAACACCAACTTCAACACCAACATCCACAGCAACAGCCACAAGCTCAACAACAACAGTTGCATCAACATCAGCAACACCACCAATCACCCAGCGTTGGCGCCACAGCGACAAAAACGAAATGTCCCTCCCCCACATCGTTGCTCGAACATCGTCGCAGCAGTCCAAGCGGCGATGCACACCTACATTCTACACTCACCGAATTAGGCTTGGATATGGGCTATAAGACAACGCGTAGCAGCGCTTATTCACCAACTCGTCTCTTTTCCGAAGACTTAGCAGCTTTGGTGGGCGCTAGTGAAGACTCGCCGCCGGGCACAACGGCGTCCTCTACAAATGTTAGCAGTACCAGCACGGTGACGACGCCGGCCATGTCTGGCAGTCACGCGGATGTTAGCATTACCTCGAGTGCAACGAGCGGTAATATAAGTTCCAGTAATATAAAAATCGAACCCATCACGACAAGTAGCGAATAAACAAAATACTTTTCTAGTTAAGATGCCTTTAAGTTCATTCGATTTAATTTATTTGTACAAGCAGTTTGGAGACAAATATTTCGGGGAAAAAATTTAATTTCGGTGAAATTTATTTAAAAAGATTGATTTCCTTTTAAAGTTAAAGACCTCTTTAAGATAAATCTTTGTATTGCTCTTAAATACTAAACACATTTTTAAATTTTCCGAACTCTGGGTTTTCTTCAGATTTCTATGTACGGTGGATGGGAACAACAGGGGTCTAGTTCGATAATTTTGGCCAGTTTTCCAAAATCAGCTGACACACCCGCTTGCATTCCCAGACAAAACAAAACTAAAAAGGCAAAATTCTAATTTTCTGATCAGTATTGGTCTAGCTGAATAAACTACACAAACTTACTTCCGATACTGATAGATCAGAGGTTAAGCGCTTATCAGACTGACATCGTATAATAAACTGTGGAAATGCTAAAGAATTAAGCCAAAGTTTTTAATGACGAGATCAATTTTTGTTTTTGCAATATTGTCAAGTATTTCCCAAAACAGTTATATCGGAAACTCTATGTTTGCTTTCTCAGGAGATGCTTTTTCTAACCAATTTTTCTTATATAAAATAATAAAAAAACTCGTTTTTGGCTCGTCTTTAATGCCTCAGCTTGCTAGCCCAACTAAACTTATACTTGTAATTCTCAACCATTCATGGAACTAATTTATTTGAGTTCTGCCTCTAAGCAGGTTGGAAATGTTCCGACTGTCGTTCCATACTTTCCATGCATAAAACCAAAAATGTTTGCCTCCAAAACTTCAAAACACTTTATAAATGCATTTCTATTTACTAAATAAATGTAATTCTTTGAAAAAATACTCATCAGAGGTACTAAGGAGCAAATACCAACTTATCACCGTTAAGAAATATAGAAATTGGGTTCAAATCTAAATTTTAGAATATTTTATTTTACACTAAATTGTGAAAGTAGCGATACAAACCCGTTTGAAATATTTGTGAAACTTATTAATTTAATTAAAATAGGTATATATATTTATATACTTCATAAGAATATGCTTCCTAAGTAAAAAACAACAGTAATAATAAATAAATATGTCACATTCAAAATGTAAAAATAAAACAAAAACAATAGATATATATGTATTGCATTAGTTTTGGGTGTAAAATGTACCTACACGCAATAGGGGTATTCGAGCAACGATTTACAAAATGTTTATTTCGAAAATCATGAAAAGTATGAAAAATGTAGACCAACATTATTCTATGCTATAAATATTTTAACTTAAATTTGCAATATCACAAGATTATTTTCAGTTTTTTTTTTTTATTCAGCGCCTTGTTCAGCTATAGTTTCTGAGGCATAATAAGTGCTGAAAGCAAAATGACAGAAAAGAAAAAAAGTATAGAACTGGTGAACAATTATTCATGCGAAACTTTACACCAGGTTCTTCAGTTTTTTTTTTAGTTTTTAGATCCTTATTCAGCTATCATTCTTTTAAGCTGAATTCGAGTGGAAAGCCAAGAGCACTACAAAGCCTAGTATGGAGATGCATTCTAGCCTTAAAGTTAAAAAATTACTAATCTAGAGAAATTATTTCAATAATTATTAGCTCATTATTCTTTTCGTTTTCTTAAGCTAAAATTAGTTGTTTTGTTTGAAGTTTTGATAGCCAGACAGATTCAAAAATTTTAGAGTTCAACGCCATATTAAGTTTCTTAGAATTTTTAAGCTATTATTCTTTTAAGCTGCATTTGGATTGAAAGCCTGCAGAAGCTTAGAGTGCATAAATTTTAAGCTTAAAAATGCTAATCTAGACAAATTTTTTGAAAACTTTCATTGAAAGCGCGTTATTCAGCTATCTTTATTTTTAGCTTTAGTTTTGATAGCCAAAAAGAGCGGAAAACCTTAGAGTTCAATGTCATATTGAGTTTTATAAACATTTCAGCTTTCAGCACTTATTCAGCTAGTGAAAGTGATAGCTGAATAAAAAGCGGGAAACCGAAGTGCGTGAAATTCAGATTCGGAGTTACATTTAAACTTTCCAGAATAAATAATTTTTGGCTTTCAGCACTTGGTCAGCTAGAAAAAAATTATAGCTGAATAAAGAACAGAAATCCAATTTACGTGAAATGCGTCTTCAGAGTTACATACAATCTTTCAGCATAAATAATTTGTGTAGCTTATGAAAATTATTGAAAATGTTTAATTTTTGCATAAACAATATATGTGTAACTTTTGATTTCGTAACACAATTCGTTTGTACGAACACCCCTAATGTTTAAATTATATTGTTTTTTAAAATATCAGAAGTAACTATGTAGCATATTTCACTCACTACAATGCAGAGATCTCTTAAATATTAAGTCATTTGTTCTTTCATATTAAAATACAATATGTATGTGTTTCACTGTACAGTATTCCCACATTAAGTACATTCCAACCAAGCATGCGGTTTGACAAAAACACACACATAAAGCACTAACAAAATATGAAAGTAAAATAAATATTTCTAAAAAAAAATATTATGAAGTATTTTGAAAAGTGTGCCCGATTCAGTTAAATGAAATTTTTTTTTTTGAAGAAAAATAATTTTCATTTACATATTTATACAAAAATGTACAAAATTAATATAAAATTTGGAGAAACAAAATTCTTAAAGGTGGATATTCTTTAAATTGAAACTATTTTCGGTAACAAACAAAAAATTGCAAATAAATATTAAATTAAATGTTTAGGACCTTTTAACGAAAAACGAAAAAAAAAACTAAAATTATAGAGAACAAAATTGCAACAAATGCCTTTCGGAATGAAATTCAAAAATATAAAAATGGAAACAAAAACGGTTAAAATTAAAAGCAAGTAATGTAAATCAATTATTATTGTATTATTGAAAATGATGACAAAGCGTGTATGACAAAAATTTACTATTTATACACTTGTGGAATTTTAGGAAAATTTAGGAACAACAAAAGAAACAAAAACAAACAAAATTAACAAAATTAAAAACAACAAAATTTATATTGAAATGCAAAATTTTAGACTGATTTTTATGCAAACTGTGCAAATCCGTGAAATGTGGCAAATTGGTTTGAGGTTATGAAATTAGAGAAATGTTTTTTTAGAAAATTTAGTTATTTATTTATTTATATAGTATTTTTTTAATTTCTTTTTTTTACTTATTTATATATTTATATATTTATTATTTTTTTTACGTTTTTCAATTTAATATCTGAAATTTTATAAAAAAAAAATATTAAACATCAAACAAATTGTCAAACTAAATTTTATTTAATTTTGGTTTTTGTTTTGTATCCCAAATATAATTTTATTTACACAAATTATATTTTTTTAATTATTTCATTTCTTTATAATTCAAAACCATGAACACAGTATATTAATTTTGTTACAAAGCTTGTAACACCCCAAAGCAAACGTCGAGGACTCTATAAAATTATACCTTATACATATGTAAATGATCAGCATGATGAGCTGCGCCGATATTGCCATGTTTGTCTGTCTGTACATACGCGAACTAGTCCCCTAGTTTTTGCGATATCGATCTGAAATTTTTCACACGTCCTTTTCTACCCAAGAAGCTGGCGAAATCCCCAATTTCGGGTCATTATAGCATATGGCTGCCATACAAACTGAACAATCAAATACATGTCCTTGTATGGAAAACTTTTATATTTGACAAGATATCTTCACGAAGTTTGACATGCCAATTGTTAAAATCGAATTACTATAGCATATAGCTGCATATACTTGTAGCTATATATACAATCTAATCGATTAAAATCAAGATGCAGATCTTTTTATACCCTTTGCGCTATGTGTAATGCACCTATAATGGGTGTTATATTATTTTTTACTATTTATTTATTCTTTTTTTTCATATATTACTTTAATATCTCTAATTTTATTTAAAAAAAATTTTTTTATTGCAAAAATATAACATTTTATAAACAAAATATAATTTAAATTACAAATTTAATATAATTATTTACACAATTTTTCAATTTATTTAAGACAACCCACAAGATACATATTTATATATTTACAAATATTTTTCCATTTCGAACTTATTTTATTTCCAAAATTTTTATAAAGTGCCTTCTTCCAATAAATATTTCTTTTCATTCTACAAATGCTTTTGTTAAAATTTTCAATATTTTCCAGCCAAAAATTTGCTAATTTCACGCACAGCTACAAAATGTATTGCATATAAGAAAAATTGTGAAAATAATAAATTTTTATATGTTTATAAAAAACATTTCGGATAGATGAACTTAAAAAGTATAAACAGTTAACAAATTGATTTAGTACCTAATATTTTGATGAAGAAAATGTTTCGGCCCAAACAAAATCGAATTTTAGGCAAATAATTAAATTTAATTTATTTCGCATTTTTTTTTGTTTTTTTTTGTTTTGTAAAAGCACACCAAAAGCATAAGTAAGAGATAAATGTCAAATAAAGGGAGAAAAACTTCATAAACCAAACACACAAATCAAATCAAAATATAAACTTTAAATAAAAAATAATAATAACTCAGATAAGTTTGATGTTTTTCAAGCAAATGAAAACAGTTGAAAGTCCTTTAGCTTAATTATGTACTGAAATACAACACTTGATTGCAGCTTTGTGCTTAGCGATCACTAACTGAAATCATAATTTAGTAAAATAGAAAAAAAAAACAACAGAAATAGAACAAACGAAACTTTAAATAAATTTTATTACCGAAAGTAAGCAAAAAAACGCAAAACATAAGCATAATCAACAATAGACACATTTAAAAAATAACTTAAAACAGCATAAGACATAACCTAATAAGCATAAGTCCTCCAACAACCAACACACCGACATTATATTTAGTAAACCTCTGGTCTACCACAAGCTTAAGGAAATTAAGCAAATGCTTAAGTTGCAACTAAAAATAATAAACTAACTTAACGGTACTTCACATTGGTCTAACCTAATACTAAACTTCATTGCTGAGCCATAAAAAATTATAGCAAATATGTTACCGCACACACACTCAACTCCCCCATGTGATTACGAACTTCAAATCATAGCAAAGACACGATTAATAAAAGTTTTAAAAACAATTAAAAATCACAATATCCGTCAAATGGTAGCCCAAGTACTGCAAAATGTAATGTAAAATGTGTAACATGTTCCATGATTTTAAACGGTATCGAAGAACACACACACACACACCACAATTTTTCTTGCCGTATATAAAGTATTAACTGTACTTATATGTATGTATGTATGTGTAAGCAAAACTCAAAACTCAAACCAAAAATGTAGCGTTTACTCCAGAAAATATAAAGCCGCAATGTGCTTATAGTTTATATAATTTTTCCCGATTACCCACTAAACACAGCTGTGTAGCAATGGAAGATTCATATATGTATGAATGGGCTTCTATGTAAATGGGCAACAGAAGTGGTATGCAAAGGAAGAATTAGTTTAATATTCTTGTGTTATAAACTCTCTAAGTAAATTATGTACGATCGAAGAGCGATTAAATGATGGTATTATAATTATAACTGTAATTGAAGCTAAGTAACGTAATAACTTTATTTTATTCAGTAAAATATACAAAGAGATGGAAAATGAGAATTGTATTTTATTAGCTGGAAAAGCGGGTTTCAATAACAGTAAGTAGTATTTTGTTGTTGTTGTAGCGGCAAAAAATGTTCCTGAAATATGCTGCTGCACAGTCCTTGATCGGATAAAATTCCGGGTACGTTCCAGTTACGTAGACACGACTGTCGTGGGAACGGGAAGTAGTATTTTCGAAAATAACGGTAAAGCACACCCACGTGAAAATACAGTACATCGTTGTTGTTATAGTTTTTGGCTTATTAAGTGTGCGTATATTTAATTTCTTTGAATGTTTTAGTACCTAAATTTATATGATTATATAACTATCATTTAATACAATAAATTGCGATAATGTGTATATGTCTTATATGTATATTATATATTTATAGCTGTACTAACGCTTACTGATAACATAAATTTATAAACATTCAAAATGGAACAGAGCAGCTTATATAAAATCCAGCCATATATGTATGTATGTATCGTCACTCGAGTTAAAAAACAAATAACAATAATATTGCTCGCTTAGTAAACACCTGCAGATTCCATACTGGTGTTGTGCGTCTCTTCGTGTCGTTGCAAAAGACTCAAGCACTGATGCAAACATTGTGTGCTGGCCGTCGAAATGGCTTTCAACAACAGCAAGTCGGGGTCTGTCGGCGAAAACGTCGCACACTCAATATTTTCGATTGAACGTGCTAGTGCGGCATTGCTAAAAAATTGCACAAACAAACAAACGTATATATTACGAACTATGTATTACTTGCATATAATTACTGACCATTGTTCCGTTAGGTAAAGTGCTTGTCTCGCTGATACCATCGCATCTGAAGCGGCTAACAGTTCTCGCGGTGGCAGTGTTGATGAATTGCTTATATCCATTGCTTTCGTATGACTCTCCACGACTGCACGTAAACCATCAACCCATTCTTGTCGAGAACGTGCGTCAGCTGCACGCAATTTCAATGTATCGCCAGAGGCACAGCCGATCGAGAAGGTGCGAGAGTCTTCGTCACTAGGGCAGACTACGGCGCCTGCCAAATGTACTTGTCCGCGTGGTGCGCCAGCTAGCACCTGTGCTGATGGTGCTGATTCATCTCCAGTCGAAGAAGAGTCACACAAATAATAGCTCAGTGTACCGGTCTGTGAGTCCACCGTGAACCAGCGGTACTGCCAACCTGTAAATGTTTATGTGTATGCAATTTTAAGCACTTTTAAGGTTTGGTAGTCAAGGACAAACCTTTCATTACATTGGTATATTTGAATAGCAGTCCGTGCAATGGATGACGCAAGGTTTGATTTAGCACACGGTTTATATTGGTATCCATGTTGGGAGGGAGTATATTTTCGTTTGATAGTGCCTTTTTGGTCGTAATCTCTTCAGTTTTGGTAAACGGTGCTAGTGTTGATGAGCTCGCAGGTAACGTTTGCTGTTTCTGTTTTGATTTTCTTTTGCGATGTTCTAGTGCTAATTTGATTTTACGTAGAATTTTTGCAAATTTTGGTGGAAAATTAATAAAGTGAAAATTTTAGAAATATCTATCCAAATGTAACAAAACCACAGCTGTTAAACGAAAATGTCAATTGGGCATGACATAGTAAATACATATACTTCTAAAGCAGAGATGTTGTGAAAAATTGTCCGGTGTTCCAATGAGAGCAGCAATGCCACTTCTTTAAATAGAATAGGAAGGAATACGTTGTTTTATAAAAAGTGTATACTGAAATAAAAAAGGGACATGAATTTACATATATTTGAAGAGTTATTGAATTTTTTAATATTGTGTCATATTAATTGAAATGACAAACAAATGTTTGTGATTTTTTTTGCCGGAACAGCAAAATTACTTCGAACGAACTTTCTTTCGTTCGGCATATAAACATGTGAGAAATTTCTCCAAAATGCAGAGTTGCATTATCTAATCAAAAAACTAACCCAATCTGCAAGCAATTCACATATGGTTTTTCACCATTTTTAAAGTTTATAACAACATATCTAACATATATGTATTTTATTTTAATATATTGCCTATGTCTATTAAATATCTATGACTTTAGCAAATTATCGAAATAAATTTCAAAATATACCTTATACTAAATCAAAAAGTTGTTATTGTTTGGTCTCTATTTACATTCTTCTTTAACTTGCTTGTTTACTTTGGCATCATTCGTGTTTTCGTTGTCATCGACAACAGTGGAGAGTTTGGAGAGAGCTCAGAGAAAAAAATTTGTTTCGTTTCGTTCTCATATTGGGCAGCAAATCCTCCAGCAAAATTTGTAATTTTTAACCAGAAATAGATAAAATTTAAAACTATTACAATTGGAAAATGAATATTCTAACTGTGTGATACTGAAATTTAATACAAATAGTGCAAATTTGTGGTGAAATAGTGGTTTTTCCGGCGATACTAAATTTCTCAAAAAATCAATGACAGCAAAAAAGCAGTGAAGCACCACCATCATCAGCAACATCAGGAGGTGCAAAAGAATAGCGGGAGGAAACTGAAATCGTCGGAGTGTGATAGGAAGATGAAGAAGAAGCAACCATAGGCAAGTAGTTAAGCAGCAATCAGCGAAATCAGACAGTGAACCAGTCCGCTAGCCGCAACCAGCGCCGAAAACAAAAACGTTCTTTCAATTCGCGTTTGTGTGATTTTTTTTTTTAATTTTATTTTGGAAGTGACTTCTCCAATGATGAGTTGTAGCTAAAGATGAAGAGTAACACAATGAATATCCGAAAAGAGATAAATACAATAATAATGAAAGGTTTAAAATAGAAGAAAATGAAGCGAAATTTGAAATGGTGCTGTTGACGTTCTTTTATTAATGCTGCTGAAGCCGACGTCAACGTCGACGACGACGACTGTGACGGCAACGGTGGTAGCACATAAGGCAATGGTAGGATTGGACGACGCATTGTAAACGGAAATATCTTCGACATGTAATGATTGCTCAATGCATATTAACAAATAATTAGCTCAGAGAAAGAATATATTGTTAAGCACAAGGTTGGAAAGTGTAATAAGATGTGTCACATTTAGTGCATTACCAAACATTAAAAAAAATTGATAAAAAATTATTATTGGAAAATTTAAGGACGTTATAACTTTAAATCTGATTAAAACAATATAATTTCCTACCATGTGTGAAATGTAACAATCTGGTATATTGTGATTTTTCTTTTATTGCATGAGTCAACAATGTTGGTTGGCTTTCGGAGTTAGGTGACAACTAAAAATTTATTATAAAGTGGTTGCAAGTGTGCACATAAGTTTTGAAAAAATATACCAACGAAAACTCCGAAGTTAGTTATGGCGGTAAAAAAGAAAACATTTGCTGAACGTAAAAACCGTGAAAAGATCGACAGAAAAATCGATTAACACACCTGTAAACTTTGTCTAAAAAAGAACTTTTACTTTTAAAAAGGAAACTAACCTAACCCTTATTGCGGACCATAAAAATATACAAATATGGACGGACAAAGGGCGCGGGACATCTTAACACTGCTTCAGGAGCGTGTTGTTTGCCTCACGGGTGGTCGTGATAGACGAGGTGGTCCATTGTTATGCTTTCCAGCAACACCAAAACGCGATCGCCTTAAACCGGAGGATTTACGTCGTTTGCTTAGCTATTTAATTATGATACCAAGGTTAGTAGTTACTCATTAAATATAAAATTCTTATATCCTTACATGGTTCCATATCAGAATAAGTTAAAGTCTTATTGTCTATAGAATTTTTATTTTAGCTTTTTACTGCACGTTTTGAAGCTTTAATGTAAAAATATGTCTAAAATGAAAACTCAAATTTTAAATTTTGTTCCTGTCCCTGTTTAGTCAGTCTACACAAGTTTCGAGTGCAACGTTATATTAATCAGCATATAATTATTTGCTTATATTTCCTTACTTCACACTCTTGTTTTTACACTTATATTTTGCAAGCAATTTCTCTGCTTGGGTTTTGCATTTCTTGTCATCCACTATCCGCTTTTTGGACAAAAGATTGGCGAGGGAAATTCACTTCATATACAGTGCTTGTATAAGCACGTTTGCATATTGTGGCATGATTCATCTAAGTGTTATGCGTTATGGACTCCAAAGCGCCAGGCTTCTGGCTTGATGCAACCTGCGCACATATGGTTTGTCAGCCGGTATATAATAATCATTATATTCATGCTTAAACCAATGGCTACGTATGTGTGCAGTTTATATGTATGTATGTATTTGTGCGGTCCTATACAGTATATGTTTTAGGAAAAAAGCACTAAAAATAATAGCTTGCATAATAATACAAATTTTGGAACAGGCACTCGGAAACAAAAGCGAATTATTGTTATTGTATAAATGCATTATGAAATGCAGAAAATGAAAAATGCATAGGAATACAAAACGAAAAAGATTTACATGAGCATATTTATCACTTTAAAAATTACTAAAGAGGCTTCGTCACTGTCGAATACGTATAAGGAAACTACACAAATAAGAAACAAACAAAAAACTTAAAAAAATTAAACTAAAACTATATGCATAAAGTGGTATGTGAGGAACCTCACAATCGCACGCAACGCCCCAACAAAACGCACAATTAAAAATAAAAAACGAAAACAAAACAACGATAAAAAGAATCAGGCAGCCCCAAAGTACAACAAGGCGAATGAAAAAAATCCAAGTGAAAAATTACGCAAAATAAGCGAAAGAACAAAAACCAAAACAACAAGAACAAATAAATCTAAAAGACAAAGAGCAGCAATGGAGAAGCACACTACAAAGATATGTCGAGACTTTAGGCAACTTTGGAGAAGGTGACGGCGACAGCGACAAAAATGAGGAAAACAACGCCGGTGGCGGCTGCGTCGACGACTTGTGACTATAACTGCGGCAATGGCGCGACTTTGGCGACGTTATTGCCTGCCTTTTTGCCTTTCTGCCTGCCTGCCTGTCGAAGCGATGGCAGTGCCACGAACAACGCCTCCTACTACGCCGGCATCATAAACATCATTGTCAGCGAACGTCGACCACAGTGCCAAAACACACAGTGGCATAAATTTCTAAGGAAATCCATAAGCGCTGAAAATACGTCTTTGCATAAATACATTCGTAATAATACAAAAATACAAATGATATATGTCTTCGCATGAGTGTACATATATACATACATAACTACGTATGGAGCTAAATATATAAAATACCCTGCATTAAATCGAAGTTGTTCAAGGCCAGCCAAGACCAAATATTTTTCATAAGTTGTTGCTGCAGCAGAGTCAATATTATTGGAAAAATAAAATCCGACGATTAAAAATATTTGAATAATGCGCTATAAACGCACTTCTCCGACTAAAATGTGTCATTAGCAATGCAACACTTATGTATGTATGCATGTTGGAAAAAAGTATTGACCCAACGTGGATAGTATGGGGACTAGTTCTTTTTTAGACGTTTCTGCTGTTGCTCTTTTTATGGATAAGATGCTGCAGTAATGTGCATATTTTTATTTGCATATACCTAAGCGTATGTACACATATACTTATATATTATATATTCGAATGTACAGCTGAAATCCTTCAATAAGTAACGTATGTAAGTCGAAATGAGTGATTAAGTTTATTATTAATCAAAATTTGCAAAATACTTTTATAACAACGTAGATTGTTCTTCAAAGAGAAAAGGTTGTCTGGCGCAAATATATGATTTTCACCAACGCATGTTGCATATGAAGAGCTCCAGTTATCTGAGGAAACCCGAGTAACTCTTGCATAATTACTTTTTTCTATATATTGAAACAGTTTAAACTTCTGCTTATTTATAATTGATGCCGAATTATTTAAAACAAAAGGAGTACCTGCATAACACTATCCATATCCCTTTGCATGATCCGCACAAAGCACCCAGCAGGTTTCTAAAGTTTTTCAGGGTGCTGGGACTTGGTTAACAGATGCGGTGCAAAACCTCATATTAATCTATCCATCTATGATCCCCAAAACTCACTCAGCTAACATGCCTTTAGATATTCAGGGTTAGGTGTTTTGTTTTTGTTGTGGCGGCAATGCTGGCGAGTTGACAGTCTTTGGCCGTATAAAAATCCGGGTACATTCCGGTTACGTATACCCGATTGTCGGCTCACTTTAGCCAAGTATCGTAGATTCTTCCGCATATCTATTCGATTTTTGTTTATTATTTATTTTTTATTTTTTTGGTATGGCGCGCTATCTATTGTACGCTTAATGATATAACTTCAGTTATGCTGTTTGTTCTTGTTTTACACACACAAACGTGTTCGACGACCGAAACGACCGATAAGTATTTAGCTTAGTGCCTTCTTTAATGTCTCACTTCCCCAACAGAACTGATTATATTTCTTTACACGTAAGCATGACTGTTTTTTGATTGAAAACTGTCGCATTCTAAAAAAAAATATCAAGAATGCCACATATTAGAAAAGATTTCTGTTTTATCAAAGAAAAAAATTAAAAGCAATCAGTGCAAGCGCGTTATCACTCTATTGTCGGGGCTTAATGATGTATTTTAATGTGGCTGCTTTTGTTCTAAAAATACACACACCACAAGCGAACCGCCTAATTATCTCGTCACAGACAGCTGTGTGTCGCCGACAATTCTTATCAGCATTTTCTCATAGCATCGTCATAGCGGGTGCGAATTCCAAACAGCTCCATTCAGCAGCCAGCATGTCCACTGCGCTGGGTCGCTTATCAGCGCGCCAACAGCAATTGTGGAAGTAACTAACATACATAGACACCTATTTACATATTTACTTAATTCTATTTCGAATTGTGTTGCTATTTTTCACAGATGCTCGGCTATTTGCTTTTGTTTGATACATTTCTAGTGCATTCCACTTCCATGCATACATACATACATACATATATTCATATTCGCAAAACTTCGTGTGATTTATCTTTCCTTGAAGACGGCTATGGTGTCGAATATCATGAATTTGTTTTGAATTGTCTATGTTTATATATTGATTGTGGTTCAATCTACATACATATATGCCTGCGGCTATTTATTAGGTGCGCTTGTCACCGGAAACAGACAGGCGTTGTGTGAGTAATATGAACCTACGTGTGTTTTTGCAGAAAAGTTATAATAATAATTTAAATAAGAAACACTCATATAAGTAATAAAATACTTTTACACACTTCACATGTTATTTACTCGAATTTTTTATAACAGCTGCTATAATCGATACCAAATACAGTGCTAACCGACATCTCAACATAGCGGCCGAAAAATACCTAACCAAGGTTCTTAAGGAAAAGTGGTCGCACAATTAAAAATTAAAATAGATAGAAGACATATGTTATTCTCCCACTACCGATATTCACTTACTACCCAAGCCTATACAATCCTAAACAGGAGCTATGTAAAGTGCTCAGCAACATCACAGAACCAAATCATTATGATACTAGCTGCACTTAACCTACAAGTATTGCAAACTTTTGATCCAAATAATCCATGTAACGTTATTCAAAGACATAAAGCGCTGTCTTCACTCTGACCCCAGTTGACAGGGCAGACAACGTACCCTCAAGGTATTTCGCAGAATGAAGCCTACCAAACCTACACCGTCTGTATATAGAAATATAAGAACTAGTCCCTCAGTTTTGAGATATCGGCGTGAAATTTTGCACACTTGCTTTCATGTCCAAGAAGCTGCTCATTTTTCGGAATTGTCGATATCGGTCCACCAAAAGATACGGCAGCCATAGACAAACTGATAGTTCAAAATTGAGTTCTAATATGGAAAACTTTTATATTTGACAAGACATCTTCACGAAATTTGGCATAAATTATTGTCCAAGATAATGCTACGAACTCTGACTATATTCCTCAGATCGGAGCCATATAACATATAGCTGCCATACAAAATGATCGGTAACAATTAAGGTCTTATATGGTAACTGTTTTTTGTTTTGCAAGATTTCTTTACCAAATTCGACATAGATTATTTTCAAAGACACCGAACATATTGTTCAGATTGGACCACGATAACAAATACGTTTTCAGATTTAGTTATATATATAGTTGCTATAAGAAATGCACCCGTGAAGGATGCAGCCAAAAGATATCAATGCAAAATTTTAGAATTTTAAACTCCATTTCAAAATGCAATAATTGTAGCACCTAGTCAAGCACCCTGTACGCACGTACCATAATTATTTTACTTTTACTTTATATAACCCTTATAAGGTACCGACAGGTTTTCTAAGCCGATAAAAAAGAACAAAAGCATATATTTATGAGTACATTACCCACGTCATTTCATTTGCCGTCTAATCCCGAAGAATCAAGTGTGTGACAGACGCAATTGTCGCATAGCTCCTATTTCGACATTTATATACATTTTAATTATGCATTCAAAACCACACATAGGAAAGAGTTAAGATACGCATACGCATACCTACATACATACATATACGTATGAATATGTATCATTTGTACGTATGTACATATGTATGTGTGTATGTATGTATATGTGCCGATTCAAATAACGTTGTGGTTTGTGGTGAACTAATATCAAACAAATATGTTAATTAATAAAATAGCGGAAAATCAGTTCAAAAGACGATATTATTAGTGTTTATAGCGTGATACAAATTTTTTGATATCTCTTTACTGAAAATATAATTTTATTTAAATATGTTTTTTTTTTAATTTTTTTTTATAATTTAATGTTTTTGAAAATCTTTATGATCATTATATAAATATTTATTTAATTAAAACGTGGTTGTTTCTCTTGCCTCAGAGTTTATTGCGTGATCTCTATCCTGTCCATTGGATCATTCATTGCGCCAAAAGCTTGTTTATCAAAATATTTTTTTATTATAATAAAGAAATTAATGAAAAGAAATTGTGTCAGCATATTAATTCAATGTAAAAAATCTTAATTTATGCAAAATTTAAACAATCGCTATACCAATGTATGCTTGTGTGTGCATGTGTGTCGCAGTTCATTGCCTCATTGGGCGTGTGTAGTCACATACGCCGGTGCGCGGTCTGCTGTTTTCGCTCCTATTTTTACGGCTTGTTCACATCGAGCCATTCACACGTTCACACTGCCCCCTTCTCTCTCTCTCGTTCTCTTTTGGGCTCTCGTTTCACGCAGTATACCACCTTTTACGCTTTTATTAAAGCTTTGTTTTGGCTCCAACTAATTTCACTAATTTCTTATTCTTTCATTTCCTTATAGTGATTCGGCGAAGAACCTCGGCTTCACGGTCATCATTGATATGCGAGGCAATGGCAATTGCTCCACCAACCTAAAGACAATACTGAAAGTACTGCAGGAGCACTTTAGCGCTAACATACACAACGTGGTGCTCATTAAACCGGATAATTTTTGGCAGAAGCAACGCGCTTCGATATCGACAAATAAATACAAATTTGAAACATCGAATATATCGATCGAGGCGCTACACAAAATAGCCGAAGCGCATCAATTGACTTCCGATTTTGACGGCACGCAGCCGTACGATCACCAACAGTGGACCGAATCGCGTTTGGCAATCGAAGATTTCTTTTGGCAAGCGAGCGATATGGCCGATCGCATTGACGATCTGCAAGAAGACTTGCAGCGCAATGATTTCGCTGAAGATGTTAACGGCGCAAAGCATTCACTCGATCATCACAACGAAATGAAGAAGAAAATACAAAATCTGCCGATTGAAGATTTGGAATTGCAGAGCAAGAAATTGCTCGCTAAGATCAATAAGAATGCCGGTAGCGCTGGTGTGCCCGGCCGACAGGTGAGTGTATACAGCTGGAATATGAAAATTCAATAAAAATGATATAATTCTTATTTCGTCTACAGCCCTGTGTTGGCTCCGGCGCCGACTGTGGTGGCAGCGATTCCGGCACTTCAACACAGACGCAAAACTCTTCGCCAGCTTTTCGCGCTGCCAACAATAATCCTGATATGGCCGCGGCCATCAATAAAGCGCTGCGTCAAGTTGACCTCATACGCAATGGCCAACAGCGTTTGCTCACCTTGTGGCAACACAAAAAGTCCAAGTTGGATCAGTGTTTTCAATGGCGTCTCTTCGAGCAGGATTGCGAGAAAATGTTCGATTGGATATTGCACAATCGCGATGTCTTTCAGATGTCTTATGTCGAAATTGGACATAATTATTCTGTGGCGAAGTCACTGCAGGATGAGCATCAGAAATTCGCAGTCGCCTCCATGAATGTATCAGTCAATATTGATCGCATACTTGCCGTGGCCTCACGCCTCATTGAGAGTCAACATTACGCAGCGCAACACATCAAAACACTAGCCACGCGCCTCGATCGCACATGGAAAGACTTTGCCGCTGGTCTGGATGAACGCACAGCGGTGCTGCAGCTGAGCGTACTCTTCCACCACAAGGCGGAACAGTATTGCAATAGTGTGGCCTCATGGGCAGCCGCCTGTCAGGCCTCGCAACCGCTACCATCGGACATACAGAGCCTGGAGACAGCAATACGTACGCATCAGTCACTGTACGAAGCCATGTGTCAGGCCTACACGGAGGTGCACTCGACCAGCAAGAAACTACTCTACCAATTGGATCATCTGGTACAGGTGTGCAATCAACCACCGCCGCCTGGTGTGCCCGATCACCGCAAGAACAGTAGCTTTAATAAATATGAACGCCAAAATCCGGCAGCTGACTACAGTGAGGGCGCTTCACATGTGCTCGCTGTAATCCACCAAATACTGGGACATCACCGCTCATTGGAGGCGAAGTGGCATCAAGAGAAAATACGATTGCATCAAACATTGGCGTTGCGCCTCTTCCAAGAGGATGTGAAACAAGTGTTGGATTGGCTGAAGAATCATGGTGAGGTGTTTTTGCGCAAGAATACCGGCATTGGACGCAACCTGCAAAAGGCGCGCGTCTATCAAAAGTCGCACGAACACTTTGAGAATGTGGCACAGAACACGTATAGCAATGCGGAGAAACTGCTTTCGGCTGCAGACGAACTGGCACGAAGTGGCGAGGCTGATCCCAATGAGATTTACTCAGTGGCACGCGAGCTGGAGTTGCAGGTGGCCAGTTTCGCCGAGCGCGTAGAACAAAGACGTCGTCGCTTGGAAATGGCTGTTATATTTTACACACACGAAAAGGAGGTCACCGCTTGGATTGATCAATTGCGTACCGACGTGTCCACCGATCAAACTATGCTTTCTCAAGAGAATCTCGAAGGCATCGAACGACATCTGCAGCAATTCCGTGAGCAACAGGAAAGCACACTCAAAGGTTGCATGCAGACCATAGCTCAAGGCGAGGCGCTGTTGCAGGAAATGCGCTCACTCGAATATGACGAGAATAGTTTATCCATATCGGGACTTGAAACGACTTTAGAGAAGCTGACCAAACAGAAAGTGGAATTGGAGGAGCTTTGGTCAGCGCGTCAATATCGCGCCGATCTAATACTCCGTTTACGCTACTTCGAGCGTGACGCAATGGAACTCTCATCACAGTTGGAGATTTGGTCGGAGGAGTTGCAGCATGCCGACTTATCACGTGACTACCAAAAAGCAGAACAATTGATACGCATGCACAACGACTCCGTAACTGACATACAGAACACCACTTATGAGGTGCTACAGCAGGGACAGGACCTACTGCAAATGTTCGAAACGGCTGGCATCATTTCGATGGCTGATGCCACGCACACAGCGCAGGCGCGCATACAGTACCTCTTGGACTTTTTGGGCGAACGTGAAATTGACCTTGAGGAACTGTCTGAAGCGAAGCGCGCGAAATTGGAGCAAGCCGTGCAGCTGTGCCAGTTTCAAAATGATGCCAATCAAGTAATATCGTGGATACGCAATGGTGAAGCCATGCTGGTGGCCAGTTTTGTTACGCCCAATAGCTTGCAGGAGGCCGAACAGCTACGCAAGGAACACGAACAATTCCAGGTGCGTTTGTTTTGAAGTGTTTTTTAATTATTTCTTTTCTACTTTCGTATTAATTACGTCCACAGGTTGCCATTGAGAAAACACACACCTCCGCCGTACAGGTAAAATATCGCGCCGATGCGCTCATCAATGCCAATCATTATGATCCACAATCGATACGAGAAATCTCCGATGACGTCACCAAGAAGTGGCAACAACTGGTCACCTACGCCGAAGAGCGTCACAAATTGGTGACCGCCTCAATGAATTTCTACAAAACCGCGGAGCAAGTATGCTCCGTACTCGACAGCCTAGAGCGCGAGTATCGCCGCGAAGACGATTGGTGCGGCGGCGGTGGCTCTAGTGATAAAGCGCAAACTATTGTGCAGCTAATTTCGAAGCATCAGGAACAAAAGGAGGCATTCCTCAAAGCGTGCACACTGGCACGTCGCACCGCCGAAACATTCCTTAAATATGCAAATCGTTCGCAACAGTACTACAAGTACCAGTCGCAGGGTAACTGCGAGACGCACGTACGCACCATACTCGATAAGCTGTTGACGCAGGAGAATCAGGTGCTCGAATTTTGGACACAACGCAAAAAATCGCTGGATCAGTGTCAGCAATTTGTGCTGTTCGAGCGCAGCGCTAAGCAAGCCATCGAATGGATACACAACACCGGTGAGGCCTATCTCTCCTCACGCACCAATCTGGTGGGTAAAACACGCGAAGAGACCGAGGGTCTGCTCAAAGAGCACAACGAATTTCGCGGCACGGCGAAGGAAACGCGTGAGCGTGTTAAACTGCTCATCCAGCTGGCCGATAGCTTGGTGGAGAAGGGTCATGCACATGCTAGCGCCATCAAGCAATGGGTGGCGTCAGTCGATCAAAGGTGTGTTTTTAGTAAATTTTTCTTGTAATACTTCAAGTTTAATACTCGATTTGTTGTGACAGATATAAGGACTTCAGCAATCGCATGGACACTTATAGAGAACAGTTGGAAAAGTCATTGGGCATGTCAATGGTGGTACCGGTAGAGTCGGACGCAAACTCTTCAATTAGTTCTGCATCTGGTAAGTAACCGTTAAAAAATAGTTAGCGAGAGCAAAGTGCTTAGAGATCAAGCTTTCTCACACAAACTTTATTTCTCTTAATATGAAATCGAAGCTCTTCTGCTTTAAAAATGTTCCTTTCTTATATATTCTTTAGTTATACATAATAAAAACAACAAATATGCATTAATTTCAGGCTCCACCACCGATCGTCACTCAGATCCTTCGCTAGAGGCCAAACTCACCACATCCTCCACGGCCGCATCGAAGGAGATTAACGAAGAGAAACGTAAATCCGCACGCAGAAAAGAATTCATTATGGCCGAATTAATGCAGACTGAACGTACCTATGTAAAAGACTTGGAAACTTGCATCAAATGCTTCCTTGAAGAATTCCGAACTGGGCAGGGTGTGCCAGCTGCATTGGCCGGCAAGGAGGACACACTCTTCGGCAATATACGTGAAATTTATAATTTCCATCAGAAGATATTTCTACGCGAATTGGAGAAATACGAGACCATGCCCGAAGATGTTGGCCATTGTTTCGTCACTTGGGCTACGAAATTCGATATGTATGTGTATTATTGCAAAAATAAACCGATCTCGAATAATCTGATGGTACAACATTCGGGCACATATTTCGATGAGTTGCAACATCGGCACAAGGTCGAACATCCCCTACCAGCTTTTCTCATCAAGCCCGTACAACGTATTACGAAATACCAATTATTACTCAAGGATTTACTCTCCTGCTGCGAGGAAAGTCATGGTGAAATCAAGGAAGGTTTAGAGGTTATGTTAAATGTGCCGAAGAAGGCGAACGACGCAATGCATTTGTCATTGTTGGAGAACTGTGATCTGCCCATAGATAATTTGGGCGAGGTGGTGTTGCAGGATGCATTCCAAGCTTGGGATACAAAGCAATTGATACGCAAAGGACGTGAGCGGCGTGTATTCTTATTCGAATTGTATTTACTCTTTGCCAAGGAGGTGAAGGACTCAAACGGTTCCGTTAAATATCAATTCAAAAGTAAACTCATGACAACCGGTCAGTAGATATTGAATAATAATAATTTACAGCTAGTTTTAACTTGATATCAATAATCTTTGCAGATATGGGCATCACCGAACACATCGAGGGCGATGAAACTAAATTCGCTGTGTGGACAGGCCGTTCGCCAATGCTCTCCGACTGCCGTATTGTATTAAAGGCAAATAGCTTGGAGACTAAACAGGTAGGTAAAGCAAAATTTGAGGGACTTAGTTTTTTTTTTTTCTTTTGACTCATTAAATATAAAAATATGGATATCAATTTAAAGAAGTTTAAAAAGGCTTAATTAAACAGAAAATTGAACAGTGTTGCCACCTCTTAATTTTTATTATATTAATAATTTGATGTATTAAAAAACTATGTTTATATCTTTTCGGAACGTACCGATATCGGACCACTATAGCACATAGCCTAAACACATACTGATCAATCAGAATCAAGTTTTTGTAGGGAAATTTTTTTTATTCGACAAGATATCTTCACGACATTTGGCATGAATTATTTTTCAAGGCAACGGTAAAATAGATTAGAACGGTACAATCTCCAACTACATTTTTCAGATGAGACACTATAGCCTATAGCTGCCGTACAAACAGAACAATCAAATTCAAGTTCATCTTCAGATACTTTTTTATTTGAGAAGCATATTATATCTACAGTGCAACCGAAGTTAATTTTTTTCTTATTCAAACAAAATGTAAGCTCTTTGTATAAATTAAGCCACCTTTTTGTCATATAAAGTCTCTCCTCGCAGGGTTTGAAAATAATTTTTTAAATTCTTCAGAATTGATTGAAATGACTTGATATCGTAATATAACCTATAAAATTATGCAGAAGCTTTTATCTGTTATGTGTAACAATATTTGGTCGGTTTCAAAGTCTCTTCTCTAACTTCATTTACTATTTCACCAGGTTTGGGTGAAGAAAATGCGCGAAGTTATGCAAGAAACCTGCTTTTCGGGCACCTCGCTTACACTACCGAAGTCGCCGGCAAAGAATTCTGGCTCATCGCAACGTTCGTCGCGCGATTTAGATGAACCACTGACGGAAAATGATCACGATCGCTGCTCATTGGCCAGCTTTGGTTCCGGCAATACCACAGATAGTGACAATAAGGTAAGTACTTTCAATACCATTCCCAGGAAAGACGACGCGAAGTAACGAAATTCGCTTTAAAAGTGAAAATAATGAGAGAAGAACGCGTTTCATGCAACCGGTTATGAGCAATCAGCTTTTCCAGTGTATTTCAATTGCGTTGGCAGGGCTAATGTATATTAGCATATTTCACACATTTCATAGAATACTAAAGCAACATTTAAAATAAAAAGTAGTAAAAATTCACACCCTCATTTTCCTGTTTCTCGCAAACACATTAATTGTATCACATTTCCTTTGAATTATTATTTTTTTTCTGTTTTGGTTTTTCCTTGTTTTTTTTTTGTGTTTTGAGCTGCACTTGCCAACAACTTTTACCTTGATGGTCAGCAATGAAATGCCAAGTCTTGCCAATATTTTCATAAATTAGAATATAAGTTGTTAAGAATATATTATAGCGAACAAATGCTTCGTTATATTTCCGGCGAAGTGTGCATACCTATGCATATATGTATGTAAGCACAATTTTTTGCTTGAGTGGCTGGCCGCCTGTTTGCTGTCATTCGATGATTTCATCGTGTGCTTTTGTCCCATATTCCTTTAAAGGAACCGCAATAATAATAATAATAATAATGATAATAAAGTGAAAGCAATGAAAAAGCGAAATTAAACAGATAGACCCTACATATGCTTACATGCATACCATCTAATCAAATTTGACCCGGACTGGCAAAAAAATACTACATATTAACGTATTTGAATACAAATCTTTATTATTTCTAAATAGGCGCCTGAATACAAGCATGCCTTTTGGTACGAGTCTAGCATTGACGCGCTTTATACCCAAAACATTAACCAAAATGTGTCGAGCATTGACACGCTTTATACCCAAAACATTATCCAAAATGTGTTGGGGCGATCTATAAAATATGTTAAGAACCTCTGCTAACTCTCTGATGCCAATACGACGATTTTAAAGCACTGTTTCTTTAATTTTTTCGATGTTATCGTCATTAACAGAGGTGGCTGAGCGACTCGCATGCCGCAAGTTTTCGATAACTTCACGACCTTCACAAAATGCAGGTCAAATTGAACACATGGTATTTTCGTGCAGACTCCAGCCGGAATAAGTGTATCTAAGTGACTTCTTCTTCGGCTCTCTGCCTAAAGTACCTTCTAATTGCATAAATTAGCACACCAAATGCATTTGTCGCTCAAAACTTGTGTAATAATTTGCATTTCCTTGCACCGCTCCAGCAGAAGATTTCTACATATCAATAGTTATATTATAATAAAGCTTCAAATGCGTAGCTTACAATGTGCCCAAGCGTACTGGGTTATTATATGGTATAAAATAAGTTTTGATATTAAATAAATACGCATGCTGGCTACAAAGAAAAGCTCACTGCTGCGGTGAAAGGTCCACAATGTGTAGAATAGCAGCTTTTATGTCTCGCATCTGCAGCAATGCGCATCGCATCTGCTGTAACAGCTGCAGCCGCACCACACCGCGAGTGTGAGCATATAATTTGGCCTACCTCACGTTGGAATTTGGTGTACATTTATGCACGAAAATTCGTTGCCAGTTGTTGTATATATTATCTGTGTCGTCTTTTCTATGATTTAACCATTTTCCAGCCACGCTTTTCTCCCCCACAAACAGGTGCGCTCACGCAGAGCTTCTAACAATATTCTTTTAGCGAGTGTAAATGGAAACAGAGGGAGAGAGAGAGAGACAGTGAGCGTGAGCGAATATATATTGCGAGCGCATTTCTCAACCCCAGCAAAAGCTTCGTGCTATAAACTTTATTTATGCGCTCTCTTCTGAGCAGCGACTTATAGTAATAAGCACTTAAATACATATGTTTATTTTGATACGCAAGACTTCGACGTATATGCTTAGCATTTTGTTTGTTTAATATTAATTGAAATGCGATATAATTGTTACAAAACATGCGTATATTAAATTTATGCACCGCCGCAAACAGTTTACCCCCACCTCTTTTGGCAAAGTTTTTTTTCGAGCATTTTCTTCCTCTTCAAAATGTATTAAAAAACGTTGTTTATTATTTCTCAACACTTTAGTTATTTTATTGTCGAATTTCTATTAATTTTGTTAAAATCATGAGGAAAAGTATGCGATAAGTATAATATAATATATAATTATAGGTATGCTTTCGAGATATTCACCGAATTGTAACTTAACGTGTATTTCCTTGTTTCCTTGTAACATTGTTAAAAACTGTCGAAAACAAAAAGAAATTGATGAAATCCTCCCAAACATTCTAAAATGCATACAAACTTCGATAGGATTTCATTCTGCTCAGATGTTCATATCTGACGATATTTTTAAAAATCTTTCCGTGTAATGTCTCTCAAATATCAAATATTGAGATCCGCACCATAATCTTGTTCCTTTTGCCACGTTTATTTGATATCATACGTAAATTTGGCTAATATTTTATTGCTGCCTTGCCAATCAAAGAAAGGCAATAAAGCGTGGGCTACTATTAGGCGCATTGCAAATGTCCATATAGATATGAAAATATTTGACGCAGTCAGTCACCTATACAGCTGTGATAATATGATAATAAATTGGTTATGATTTGTGGCAAGAATAATATTGTGACATTGGCAGCAAATTACAGTTATAAAACTAGAAGTAATGAATCGAATTTTTGCTTATACTATATATATATATAGCTACTTAGTTAGTTAAGTAAAACATTTTAACAAGTTATTTATTGAAGGGGCAGGGTATTTTTTTAATATGAACAAAAATTTAATATATCGCAGTGATTAGATTCTTTGCTTTGAAAGGTTTTAATTAATATGAACAAATGTTAGGAGTGTTTAAGGAATCCTAACCTTCAAAACGCACCGTTGAATTTTGGGCTGATGAACTTAAACGTGATCGTACTAGGCTTGAAGACGATCCACGCGAATGACGACCAAAAACCGTAACCACGCCAGAAATCCTTGAGCAAGTTCGTAATATTGTTGGTGAAGATCCAAGTTTGACAGTTTAGTTTTTTGGGAGGAGTTTTGTTGATTGATTATCTGCAAAAAGATAAAACAATCAGCTCTGAATGTTATCACAGCCTTTTGAATAAGCTGGATGAAAAAATTCGTGAGAAAAGACCTGGTTTGTAGCACAAACAAATCATTTTCATCAAGTCAATACACCTGCTCACAAAGTTGTTTTAACAATGACAAAATTAAACGAATTAAAGTACGAATTGCTTGAGCATCCACCGTATTCTTCGGGTATTTTGCAGAGCTGCCGGAAAGTCATTTTATTGATGGCATAAAACTATTATAAGATCATTGGAATAAATGTATTGAAATTAAGGGAGATTATATTGAACAAAAAAATATATTTCGTACCAAAAACAGTATTTTTTTATTTCGAGCGCAGAAACTTTTCAACCAACCTGTAGTACATATATATAATATTTTGTAAGGTCTCCGACGTTTCCTTTTGGGTGTTACAAATTTAGAGGCAAACTTAATATACCCCGCCCAAGGTAAAAATATTTTAATTAATTTAAGCTAATTATTAATTTGATTTTTGTTTTAATTTTTTATATATGTTTTTTTATTTTAACTTTATTTTTTATTTTTAAATTTTTTATTTTTATTTTTAAATTTTTTATATTTTTATTTTAACTTTATTTTTTTTAATTTTTTTTTTTTTTTAACTTTATTTTTTTTTTATACATTTTTTTATTTTAACTTTATTTTTTATTTTTTATTTTTTTTTTTTGTTTTTACCTTTTTTTATTTTTTTTTAACTTTATTTTTTTTTATACATTTTTTTTTTATACATTTTTTTTTTGCACGATGCTTTTGTCTCCAGAGTAGCTCCAAAGGCAAAAAGAAAAAGTACTAAGATTTCAAAACTAACGTAAAATTGTACATACGTAATTATTTGGTGTTTTAATTGAGTCCAATTAAATAATGAAAACATTAGTATAATGAGAAAATATCAGTTGTGGTGACATCAATTTGATTAGCAAGCACAAGTGACACCTGTTTCACTAGATTGTCAATAAGTGTTACCATAAATTAATTAAAACATTAAATTGCAGTTGTTTTCATTGGTTTGACAATAACATGGTTCGCGAGTAATCACTTCTGTGTAATTGATTATTCAGCAGTATTGGTTAGCAATAATTTTTTTCATATCAAATATCTGGTAGTTAAATTTTCTTGGAACATTAATAATTTTTAAAAAAATTTTTCTGTATAAAAACTGTTTTTTTTTTTGTTTAGCTTTTCTATACTCTCTTTATCCTTCCCTGGTGTGCTGGAGTAAATATTTGTGTTTAAATTGTTGGTTTTTTAAATTTTGTTGCTTTTATCCACGTTTACACACATGCAAGCAATAAAAGTGTACTCACCAAAAGATGCATCAGTAAACTTTTATGACATGCCTCGAATGCTTTATGGCATTTGATTGCATTAACCTGAAAATATCGTTAACCCAATCTTATGCGGATTTCCTTAGGGTTTTTATGAGCTCCAAAATTTCGCACGTCAATTCCGACAATTATTCGGCTACATCTAACGCAGCCTATTGTTGGTGTTGTAGTTGTTGTTGTTGTTAGCATATTATTATCAGCACCGCCTTATTTCCGGCGCTTCGTTATATGCCACTTGAGTTGTACGGGCGAACGTATGAACGTAGATAATAAATAGCCTTACTCTTACCTAGCTAGCATCATAATTTTCTTCATCGTTGTTCTTTGGTTTTTATTTTTTACCTACTTGTAAGCACAATGTGGCGCATTGTTAGAATATTAATAAAGTAATGCAAAAACAACATAACAACGCGGCTAGCGAAGTTTGAGCTTTTCGCCAATGCAGAATATTTTCGACGCGAGCGAGAGTGAGTCGATAAAAAGCGTGCTCTTTGTTAACGCACACAGAGAGCGAGAGTGTCTATTAGAATGGACGAGAGCTGCAAATTCTTCGACGTTACGCTCTGTATTTCCTGTATGTAGCAACGCATAGCAATT